TCTAATGCGTATGAGATGTTGAAGTTATTTTTAATTGGACATTTTATTTAGCCTAGTATTTCTAAAATATTAGCAAGTCTACTTGTAATCAATAAAAAATTAGTATTTTACTTTTTTTTTTAGTATGAAATCTTTGAAATCTGCTTTGTGCTTTATACTTAGAGCACATTTCAATTAGGACTAACGACATTTCAATTTCTTGACAGCCACATGTGGCTAGTGACTCCCATATTGGAGAGCCCAATTGTAGCGCATTTAACTCAGTTGAATATTATATACTCCCATTAACTCCAAGCCCCAGGAGGACAAAGAATGTATCTGTTTTGCTCATATACAACAGGTTGCTGAAGGCTGGCTCATACCACAGGTGCTGGATGAAAACTTTATAATGAGTGAGTTAATGAAAAGTGTTGTTACAGGATCTCTTTGCTCATGACTTATTTATAGTTAATTTCTAGGAATAATCTGTAACATTTTGTTTCTTGATCTGCTTCCCAGACATGCTTCTTAGCTCCTGGGAAAGCAGAGGAATAAATGTTACCCAGGAAGATCCTGGAACTGTGTCTGTGAAGAGATTAAAATAGCAAGCAAATGCTATTGTAGGGGAAGAAAAATAACTTTTATTTTCCCAATTTAGGTTCTTGGCTGAATCTCTGTAACAAAAGACAGATTAATAAGAGAAAAGCATCCAAATTTATTTAAGGTGAGTTCCGTATGACATGCGAGCCTTTATAAAGAAGTGAAGACCCTAAGAAGTGGTTAAACCTGAGTGTTTGGGGCTTAGGTTTAATGAAGAGTGGAAAGTCGTGGTAAAATGTGATAGGACAAAAGGGCTACGGGCTGTGTTGTAAACTGGAGGAAATCTAGCAAGACCTGTTCCGATTCTTCTCAGAGTCCTTTGGGGTCTTGGAGATAAGAATGTTTCTTTTCTCTGATACGAGGGCTCTTCTCATGTAAGGGTCCTTTGACCTGCTTCAAGGAAAAGTCGGAGTCCTTCTGTTACGGAAAATACTGAAAAAAAAACCTGGACTGGATCACTGACAGAAAAATCAAGGAGCACTCGGAGGTCTTGGAGTGTTGAGGCTTTATTTCACACTGGTGGGCTCAGAGGGGAGTAGTCTCCCAAAAAGTCTGAGCCCTGAACAAAGGCAAAGGGAGCAATATATATGTTTCTGCTTCCTTACCTGTAACATTCCTACGTGCACAGCAAGCGAGCAGGCAAGGGGAAGGGAGTTTCGGAAGTGAACCTTGGGAACCGGCGCTTGGCAGAGCAGGAAACCAAGGGGCTGTTTTATTTTTGTTTGTGTTGAGGAGGGGGGCGAGGCGGAGGGGAGCCACCTGGGCTAGATTGCTGTCCTCGTAAATGTTTCCCTATCACTTCCTGCACCTGCCATTTCTCCAATTCTTTTGGCTTAAATTATTCAACATACCAAGGTGCCATATCTTGGGGTGGCTTGTCCCGAACCCCATCACTATTATAGTTCATTGGAGGATAGATATTATCTCTCTACCATTAGGAAGATTTGAGAATATGATCTTAGTCTCTTTATACAGTTGACCCCTGAACAATGCAGGGGTTAGGGCCACTGATCCCTTGCACAGCTGAGAATCTGTGTATAATTTTTAACTCCCAAACTTTACTAATAGCCTACTGTTGGCCAAAAGCCTTACTTTTAACAAGTATTTTGTATAGATATTACATACTGCACTCTACAATAAAGAGGAAAAAAATGATTTCAAACTGTCACAAATCTCCAAAACTTTTCCAATGTACTTATTTTTAAAAATCTGCCTATAAAATAAAACTATATAAAAATCTGTGCAGTTGAAACCCATGTTGTTTAAGGGTCAACTGTAATTATTTTCAGTATAAATCAAGAGAGAGTAACGGTTAACTATGAACCATCAGCATTCCAATGTGGAAAATGTATATGCAGAGGCCAGGAAGCTCTTGCCCATGAGGTCCCAAGTGGGTTGGGAGTAGGGCTGGGGCATTTAGTTCCTTCATGAGTTTCCCATGGAGGAAGTCAGGTCTTCACACTGGATTTTGTCACAGGACTATTACTTGGCCCCATGGAAACTTTGAATGAATTAGAAAAAGGTGCTCCCTCTGGGTAGAGTGGGTGGAATGTGGGCTGGATTTTAGCATATGCTTACTTCCGTGTGCACAACCTGTGAACAACCTGTTCAACCATATGCAGTGCCCCTGCAAAGCATTCTCTCTTGAGCAAGCATTTTGAGGTGAACTTCCATTAACCAAGTACACTAGTTTGATGGATAAAAGCAAAAGTCCCACTGAATATTTTTTATTGAGAAGCCACCATCACAGGGATCCAGATACCTATGTTATCATGAGTAGTGAGTGCATTCTAAGCTAGTTACATGTATTAACTAATTTAGTCCTGACAATAACTCTATTATACTATTATTAACTCCTTTTTAACATAGGAGGAACCTGAGCCCCACAGAAGTCTCAGGTCACCCAGCAAGGAAATGATAGTCTGGGATTTGAACCCAGCAGCTGTCTGGTTTCCTTAGCCAAGGCAATGAGAGACCCCACTTCTCTTAGTCACTGCTGACCTGGGACCTGGAAAGATTTCCATTTGCCCCTGCATTTTGGTTCCTGAGCCACTCTTCAGAATGGGCCCTTTATTTTAAAGATATGCTGATACATACCTTCATCAGGGGTACCAGGCCTGGAAGCCACTCTGTACCCTTGGAGGGCAATTGGTTCACCTTCATTTCCTAATTATTTTGGGAAAACCCCCCAGGGTACCCAAGTTCTAACAACGAACACCTACTCAAATAATCAGGAAATACAAACCAGTCTCAAAATTTCAGAGGATTGTCTAGTATTTCTGCTTTTACACAATAAACTTTTGAAATGCTTCAACAACAACAACAACAAGAAACCACTCAAATTTGTAGATATTTAGATGCTTTGATGAAGCTGGCTGTTAGAGGAACCCTTATGTGAAGGTTTTTGTTAAGTGGAAGACCAGATTTATAAATCAAATAATTACCCCCTAACCAGATAAGAACAATAGCTTCCATTTCCCGGCATTTCTGCAGACTAGAAACTGTGCCAGGGCTTCACATCCATCATTTCTCTCTCTTTCCATAAAGCTTTACTGTGACATAATTCACATACTGTACCATTCATCCTTTTAAAGTATAAAATTTGGAGTTCTAAGTATATTCACAACGGTGTGCAACCATCACCACTAATTTCAGAACATTTCCACCATTCTAAAAAGAAACACCCTACCAGTTAGCAGTCACTCCTCATTCCCCCTCTCCCGCCCCCAGTTAGCCACTAAACTACTTTCTGCCTCCATAGATTTGCCTGTTCCGAACATTTCATATAAATGGAACCATACAACATGTGGTCTTTCGTGCCGGGATTCTTTCATTTATCCTAGTGTTACCAAGGTCCTTCCATATTGCAACATGTATCAGTACTTCATTCCTTTTTATAACCAAGTACTATTCTATGGTATATGCCACATCAGTTGATAGGCATTTGGGTCGTTTTCACTTTTTGGCTACCATCATTTCTTTTAATCCTCATGTTGCCCTTAGAAGTGTGTATTGTCCTCTATTAATTGAATTATGTTTTCTTAGAACATCAAAAATGACAAATCTTCCCAAGGAATCACTGACTGGACTTCCAGAGACCAGTCAAGAACTCCTTATATCAGGGAAGGATAGGTGTTCTGAAATTTAGCCTTCTTTCCAACCCTACCCCTGACCTAATCAAATGAAAATGACCTGTGCCATGAATGCTGCTCCTCTTTGAAATACTTCTATAAACAAGTTCTGGCATTTTATGTGCTCAGTGTTTGGCTATTCTAGATCATCTGGTCTTTCCCACAGCCCACAAGATTCTTGCAGAAGAGCACAGTGGATCAGGGGTTTCACTGTGCACCCTGGCTGGATTGAAATACCCCATCTGACATTTCATAGTGGTGTGACTTTGGGCAAACTACTTGTCTGAGTTTCAATTTGTTCATTACAAAATGAGGTTAATACCAGTACTTTGGAGTTGCTGTCAGGACTAAGTGTTCATGACAGTGCCTGTCATATTGCAAACTCAACCATTGGCTTCCCATCTACCCATTGGCGGTGGGGAATGTCTGTGTGCTACTTCACTTCTCCCAATGCACACATGATGGGTCTTTGTCCCTAATCACCCCCACATTCTCCTTTACTAACTTCTCATTCCCCAGGTCTCATTCTAAATGCCACTTCATCCAGAGTGCCTTCACAGACACCTCCATACTCCCCTTCTTTGTTTTTAAAGCACCCTGCATTTTTCTGTTGATTACTTTATCAGTTTCTAATTTTCTATTTATTTTAATCTATTTTTTTGTCCATAAACTGTGCACTCCACCAGAGGTCTTGTTTGTTTTGCTCTCTCCAATATCGTCAGTGCTGACAGTGGTCTAGGATCAAAGCAGGCATTCATCAAATATTTACAGAAAATAGTCCAAACCTTTCTTAACTCGGGTTTGGAAAGGGAAACCATCCTCCCCCCAATCACCGCAGTGAGTGGCAGATGGAGCCGTAAGTATCCCTATCTGCAATCCAGATTCCATCCGCAGAGGTTGGCAAGAATTTTCGTTAACCTGCCCCCTAATGTAGTTTGAGTGCCAAGGAATGTTCCAGAAAGGGAGAAAATAAAGCAGTATGCAGAATAAAAGAAGGTGATTTGGTTTGGCCCCTTCTTTCTGGACTGTAATGTCAGCTTATGGCAAAGTGAGTGTTTATGGCAACAAAGAACCAGCAGGACAGCGACAGGCATAGAACCTGGGAAGCGCCAGGTGTTGAAAGCAGCTCCGGCGTAGGGAAAACACTGGACAGCCCCTGCGCACGCGCATTCGAGGCGTCCCACTGTTCCTTCTTCCGCCCCTCCCCTTCCCGCCGAGGTCTCTAGACGCCAAGGGAAGTCAGCTGACGCGACGCTGCGGAGGTCGTGAGACGGCGGGCCGGGCGCGGCGCACAGCGCAGGCGTACATATCGAGCGGCTGGGTCAGCTGACCGGAGGGGGCGAACCAACCTATTTAGGCCGCGCGCCTCGGCCTCCGTTCCTCCGCCACCATGGCCAGCCAGTCGCAGGGTATCCAGCAGCTGTTGCAGGCGGAGAAGCGGGCCGCCGAGAAGGTGTCCGAGGCCCGCAAGCGTGAGTTTCGGGGTGGGGCTGGCCGGGCTTGACGCAAGTCCGAGGATCGCGGCCAGGCCGCAGGGAGGTGGTAGGTGAATGAGGCCCGAAAAACTGCTGGGTTGGAGGGGTGGTTACGATCGCGGAAGCTTCTGCGTCCCAGAGCTCCCTGGGTCTGAGGCCCTGGAAGGCCTGTAAGCCTACTGGAAGCTGCGATGCCGGAGAGTAGCCGTGGAGACAGTTATCGGCGGGTGTGCTTCTTGGGAAGTGGGTAAAATGGGCTGTCCGAACTCGTTTCCCCCTTCCCACTTGCACCTTTGGGTTCCTCCGTCTCAGTGAAGAGCCATCATCTACACTGTTGCCCAGTCTGAAAAACACAGAATCCTTTTTGCCACGACTCCCTCGCTCGTTCGCCACGTTTAGTCAGTCGCTAAGGTTTATATAAAATCTGTTCACTTGTCCCCTTCCCTGCAGCCAGCATCTTAATCCAGAGCACCAAGCTCTCTGAGGCTCCCATATTGCCCTAGTTATTCCTAAAATGTTTTTACAGTGCGGTTAATAGGTGCCAAACGCATTGCACCTGTGGTCTCCATCACGGTATCAAAGTGCCAGAAAAGGAAGCAGATATTTACACGAGTTGCTGCGAAGATGAGGGCTCGAGTTGAAAAATGTAAGGTTGCTGAAGCATTTAGGGGTGGATCTAGTCAAGGCTGGTGAGTGGGAGAAGGCTTCCTACCCTTCCGCCACCTCATTCTCCTCACTGTTGTCAGAACCATCCCTGTCAAGTGTAACTATGACTTCTCAGCCTTTACAGTCAACAGATGTTTAGTGCCTACAGGCTAAAGCCCAGATTCTTTAATCTCACTCCTAGATACGCTCCACCAGACACTGAACCACTGTGATTCCTCAAAGGCACCTTGGGTTGATTACGTCTGCAAGCCTCTGTGCAGCTGTTTGCTCTGACTGGACGAGCCTTTCTCTGGTTTCCTCTCTTTGTTGTCTAATTCTTAGTCTTCCTTTAAGTCAAAATTCAGGCAACTGTTCTTCCAGGAAGCCTTCTCTGATGTCCTTCTTCCTTCAGTCTAGGCCAAGAGTCCTTCCCAAGTGCTATTTTCTGTCACTGCAGTGAAATAACCTGTTTCATTATATGGCTCAGTCACTAGACTGAGCTGCTGAAGAACAGGGGCTCAGGGACTGTGTCTAATTTAACTTTTTGTTTCCCATCTGGTGAGTAGATTTTCAATCCCTATTTTACAGATGGAGGAAATGAGGCTCAGAGAGAAATGATTTGACCGTATCCTGGGAAGCAGCATAGTTAGGGGGCTTAGAGGCCTTCTTTCCCATGCAAGGGTAAAATACTATTAGTCTTAGTACAGGCTTACCTCATTTTATTGTGGTTTGCATTTTTTACAACCTCAAGGTTGTGGCAGCCCTGTGTGGATCAAGTCTGTTGGCACTATTTTTCCAATGGCATTTGCTTATATTGGTAATGCGCGAAGTATTTCAAACTTTTTCATTATTGTATTTGTTACCGTGATCTGTAATCAGTGATTATGACACAGTGAAAACTCACATGATGGTTAGCATTTTTAGCAATAAAGTGTTTTTAAAGTTAAGGTATGCCCATTGTTGTTTAGATATAATGCTGTTGCGCATTTATAGACTAGAATATAAACATGGGCACTGGGAAACCAAACGATTTGATTTGCTTTATTGTGATACTTGTTTTACTGCAGTGGAACCAGAACAAAAATATCTCTGGGGTATGCCTGTAATTCTTTGGTGTTTCTTCTAGTATAGACATTAACACTCCTACTCCACATCAAGTAGGTTTCAGGCATAGCTGTAGTACTGTCTTGAATAGGCGTTGCAGAATACTCTGTATTTCACAGGAAAAGCTTTCTTTGAGGGAGCTGAGATGGGAATAAGCCTTTTATTCTCGTGACTGCAAAGTTCTGTATTCCTCACGGAATATTTCTGATGATGTCCTTGATACAGTATTTCCAGAATGACTTCTCAGTTTGTCCTGTGATGGCTCATGAGTAACAGATGTTGTATTTTTTGGGTGGCTTATGAGAACATTGGTGGGGGGGGAAATGCAAGAGCAAATACTTGGACTGTGGTAAGAATTCTGAGTGTCCTGGAGGTAGGGGTCATGTTTTATATCATTTTTTATCCCATCAAGCCCGATGCAGGATCTTTTATATCTCAAGTAGCTCTTACATATTTACAGAATGAATTTGTTTTAAAGCAGTGAATTTATGGCTAATATACATCTCAGAATTTGCAATAATTAGGAACAAGTATTGAGAAGAGCAACAATTTGAAAGAATTGCCTTTCTTGATCTGCAATTATAGTTGACTCGCCCAATTAGGAACTGGGAAGAAGTGGTACATGATGTGGTAAGATGGTCCAACGCAAATTTTTCATGAAATCATTGTTTTGAGTTATAAAATTAAAAAAAATTTTGTGATCTGGTTTATTTCATGGGAGTGAAACAAAATACTGGCTTCCACACTTAATGCCCGCAAAAGCAAGATTTTCAAGAAATATGATTTCCTATTCAAATATTTATTTTTGGTTTTTGGAGAAGCCTCTCAAAACTGAACTTGGAAGATGTAGACTGACAGGCATAGAATGGCATTAAGTAATTGATCAGGAGCTATGGGAATTGGGAGTGATAAGGAGAATGGTATTGTAAAATTATGTGAAGCTTGCATAATAGGCCATAAATGTCACATTTTGTTGGTTTGGAAAAGATCTTTGCCTTTGAAATATGGCTTTGAATATAGCTGCTGAGGAGGATGGCATGTGGAGTGGATTGGAATAGTGGGTGTTTACAGCGGACAGTAGTAGGATTTAAATAATACCCGAGTAAATACATAGGTGCATAAATAAACAGGATGCTTAGAGATCTGTTAATTGTTTCAGACTAACTTTGTGGCGTGTTGGTATCATGGGGTCATTATGTATTCAAACTCCTGTTCTTAATCAGAAGGTGAAAGGTTTAATTAATCTTTATTTATCCACATGGGTTGAGTGGGATTTGGGCAATTGATATACAGTGATGTGTAACAAAGGTCACTTTTAGATGCAGGATGTCTTTTGCTTTGAATTAAATAAATGCTCGGGTTGATTGTCTAGGTTGCTTTGTTTTTTCCATTTGGTTATCTGAGAGGTTTGGTGAGCAGAGAATCAAAGCAAAGAGCATATATGTTGGTGTTATGGTCTGTTTTCTGCAAGCTCTGATAGAGCCTAGAGAATTTTTCCAGCCATAATACTATTCTAGAAACCAGGGTATCTGTGTCTCATCACTTCGTAGATTCTTGTGCAGTTTTACTGTCCAGTGCTCCCTGTTCAGGATTCCTTCCTGGAACTACTTTCATTACTTACTTCTGTGTAACACAGGATGGTTTTAGTTTCCAATATTACATCATCTGTTTCATAAGTAACATTTTAGGTTGATGGCCCTTGAGAGCATATTAGCCTCCTTGCTAAGCTTCTAAGCTGAGTTCCAACTGTAATTAGCAGCATACTTAGGTGTTTACTTCTTGGGAAGAGGATGAGTTCCCTAGATGGCTAATGTCACCCATTTTATGTTGGTTCTTAGTAATTGAGACTAGAGAATATTCTGACACATTCCAAAATTTTCTCTTTCATTTTTGTGGTCTGTAGTTATAGGAGGGGATCCTTTTTATCTAATAACTTCCTAGTTAAGTGCAGTCTGTAGGAGGCAGGAGCCCACTGTTAACTCAATCCTTATATCCTTCTTTCCCATATATGTGTCTTGGGATTGTATCTTAAAACTTTTTCTTCATGTACTGTTAGAATTTATCATTTCAGTCTCTGCTTCCTTTTACTTCTCTTTTAACCACTTGCTGATGTAACTCTTTCCTTTGAAAACAGGAAAGAACCGGAGACTGAAACAGGCCAAAGAAGAGGCTCAGGCTGAAATTGAACAGTACCGCCTGCAAAGGGAGAAGGAGTTCAAGGCAAAGGAAGCTGCGGTGGGCCTGGTTTATTTTCATTATTGCTTTAGTTTTTTGAGGGTTTCCATTTCCTCTCTTCCTCCAGGTGCTCAAAATATCCAACATAGCTGGATTCTGACTCTGATTCTGGTAGATATTTAAAAATGTCGTTATTAGGTGTTCAGACTGAGTTTTTAAGACTGAATCCTAGTTTTCACTTACTCAGTCACTTAAAGATCTTTTGAACAGTTGACATGTGCCAGGTTCTGTGCAGATTCTGGGAGATCAGCTGTGAACAGAAACAGAAATGGTCCTTGCCTTCTGGAGCTTAGCTTACAGTCTGGTGGCCAGGGAGACTCAGTAATAAAATACAAGCCACCCAAACTTGCAGCCATGAAAAGGGCTGTGATGGTCATAAATCAAATGGAGCTCCACTTCAGTGCAGTATAGAGGCATTTGGCAATAGTATAGGCTAGACTACAATGTATAACATGTAAAATGGAAAATTCTGGAAAGGAGAAAGGATGGGGAGGCTTCACTGAGAAAAGAAACCCATCAGGACTCTGGAATAAAGGTTACAGAAAAAATGCAGACTGGTTTTAAAAAATGGAAGTGATTAACCTATATAATTAAAAAGCCAGGTGAAGGGCTAACTTTATCTTGATCCAAGAACTTAAATACTCAGGAGTCTATTTCCATCTCTGAACTCTGCCTTTGGGATTGTGGGCTTCATTTTCAAGTTCTACATTGTGGCCTCCATTAGTTCCAGGTACACACCCTCCCAGGTTCAAGTCCAGTGATTGAAGACACGTGCCTCCCTCTTAGTAATTAGTAGCAAAAGTTTCGTTCATCTTTGTGTACTGGGTGATTACAGTGCTATTAAAATGTAAAATGCTTCTCTAACTCTTGAACTGAGGTAGATTAGTGCTGGAGATTGTCAGACTGCTTACAGAACAGTGTAGACATATTCTTGTCAGGGCATCCACATCATCTTATTTCTATATCTGTGCTGCAGTTGCTTAGAGAGCCAGTGTCAGTACTGGACTATGAGCTCTGAATTTTTCTAGGAGTGTTCCATCATAATCTCTTTAGTTTTGAGACAACTTACTGAGGCTTAGCAGAGATTATATTCATAGAACAGAGGTAGTGGGGCTCCCCCCAACCCAAAATTGGGGTTATAGACTTTTAAAAACATGAGTTAGCAGCTGAGCTAACTAATATGAAGTGCCTCAGGATATTCCTATAATATGAACAATTACAGTTTAGTATGAAGAGCCCTAAGTTTGAACTCTGAAAACTTGGCTTTGAATCTTTGCTTGTTTACTTTATCCTCTTTGAGCCTTGGTTTCTTTATCTGTGAAAGGAGAGTGATAATTTCCCTGTAGGTTATGGAGAAACAGGAAACATGAGAGAATGGTTTGTAAACTAATGTGTTCTACAATACGAAGGATTATAGTTGTTAATGTATATGTAATGAGGGAAAAGCAGGTTAGGTAATACAAAAGATGAGACAAAAAAGTTAAGTCTTCAAGAACCTGATGGGTCATGTTCTAATGAAGTAGGCACAGCAGTTAACAAAAAGTTAGCCATAGTGGGAAGGCAGTAGAAGGTAAAAGAACTTGTTGATCAGTGTTAAATTGTGAATGGAGACCGCATTAAATTGTGAATATAGTAAAAAAAAAATTTGTTAAAATGGGGCAACAACAAGAAGTTAGTTTTCCTGCCACTCAAACCTACAGTTCTCCTTAGAGACAGTCGCTATTAAATTTCTTGTGTATTGTTCTAGAATATTCATATTTGAAAGATTAGATGTCATGTATTCATAATACTGGTGAATCTACGGCTGAATTTAAGAGCTAAAACATTAACCAGGAATGGCGAAACTGTATATTCTTCCTGAACTGTGTCCCCCTTATGTTCTTGGGTTCGTCATTTTTAAGAGCCTTTCTTTTAAACACAGTTTATCTCCCTCTTTTTAAACTACACAGGGAAACATGCTAACTGAACTGATACTATTCTGTATCTTGCTTTTTTCCCCTTAAACTGCATATTTTACAGCTCATTCCACCTTGCTATACACAACCACTGTGCTTTTCTTAAGGGCTGAAGAGTGTTCTGTAGTATAGATGCACCATAATTTGTTTAACCAGTTCTCAGTTATTGGGTCTCTGTGTTCATTCCAGTCTTTGGTTAAGGCTGTCATTAGACTCCAGGGAGATGTCCATATATTGCTCTCTGGGATAATATGCCTAGCAGTGGAAATGCTGTGCAGTTTACTTTTTGATAGATGTCTTAAGGTGGTCACTGAAGTGATTACATCAATTTATGCTCCCATTCACTGGAAATGCCAACTTCCTGTGTTCTCTTTAATCATGAGGTTACATTGCCTGTTGCTATTTATGTTTATTGATGAGACTGGGTTTCTCCAAAAGTAAGAAAGTAGCTGACTGAATGTTGTTCCTGGCTGACCAGAGCATTGACCTGATGTTCCTGTGTTGTTGCTCCCCAACTCCAGGCTCTGGGCTCTCATGGCAGTTGTAGCACTGAAGTTGAGAAGGAGACCCAGGAGAAGATGACCATCCTTCAGACCTACTTCCGGCAGAACAGGGATGAAGTCCTGGATAACCTCTTGGCCTTTGTCTGTGACATCCGGCCAGAAATCCATGAGAACTACCGCATAAATGGATAGGGGAAGGAAAAAGAGGCACCTGTTCCATGGACTGGCATTCTAGATGACTTCATGGAATATGAAGCCTTAGCAAAGCTTGAGTTCTATTTCTGTGAAAAGGCATTAAGTTATTTCTGTATATTATATAGTGGGTACCTTCACTTTTTGGAGAATAGCAAATCTAGCTGCTTTGTACAAACTTAGAGCCTATCCAAAGATTTCGTCTTTTTACCTTGTATTTCTTAGAAATTTAATGGGTATACATTGTCTGTTTTCCTATGCCTTTTAGCTCAAGCAACATATATATCAATACTGACTTTTTCTTTCTTAGATGTAGTAAGAAGACCTTTTTTTTTTTTTATTTTTTTTTTTTTTAAGAAAGAAAGGGAAAGTTTTTTTCCCTAAAACTTTCTTGAAGGTCAGGGGCTTTATCTATGAAAAAGTAGTAAATAGTCATTTGTAGTCTGTGTGAAGCAGCAGCCAGCCTTAAAATAGTAATTTTTGGCTAAGGGTTAGAACAATGAATATTAGTGTAATTGCTCAGGCTGCTTTTAGTTTCTCTTAATCAGAATTACTAGATAATAGAATTCAAGAACTTTTTACGTGTTACTACTTAGTATGTGTACTGATAATCATTTAAAAGTAAAGACTCTTGTCACACATTTTTTTTCTCCTCTGGTTCATCCTTTTTGATAATGCAAAGTGCACTTTAACCCAGATGTTCTGCAGAATTTCACTTCGGAAATTAGCACATGTATCACACACTTAGAAAGAATTCATGGTGTGTCTTAGCAGAAAGGAAATCACTTGTGATTTTACCCAGCAACTGTTAGGAAAAACAGCAGGCAACTAGTAAGTCTGCAGTTTGCCTTTTTTCTGGAACACCCAGTACCGGGGCAGCCTTGGGTAAGTTACCAAGCTCATTTTCTTTCTCATGGGCCAAATGCTATGTGTAATATCCATAGGAACTTCACAGTAGCACCTAGGAGTTAAATGCTCTGTGACCCATTATTAGCCGAAAGTTTTTCCTTGCAAAATTCTGACGTATAAACAGTTGAAGGGGAACTTTATAGGATCCTTGCTTGTTCTGAAACAGTACAAGAGAATTAAATGACCTTTAAAATTCCTATGACTCAGGATGGATTGATCCCATCTCCAGTTTCTTTTTATATAAGAGTTTTCTATATGAGTTTTTCCATTTTTTACTGTTAAAGCGCTACTGTCAGGCTTGCCTGGACAGTCCATGGAAACTGCGTGGCAAGGAAAGCAATGATGGCCAGATGGAGAGGTCCAGTCCTCTTCCTACTTGACCTTCAGCACTGTGTGACAGGATTGACTATTCTTGAAGCACTTTCTTAGCTTCCATTCTGCAGTAATGTGCTATCTCTTAAATCTGTTGGTTCTTTCTCATCTTTTCCCAAGGATTTCTTCTTGGACTTCTGTACACTTTTTCCCTTGCTGAGACCATCTACATTTCATAGCTTTAAATACCATGTAATTGGGGACCCAAATTTGTATCTCCACCCTCTCTTTTCTGAACTCTAGGGTCTCACATTGCTTATTTGATATTTTGACTTGGATATCTAATTAGCATCTCTGTCTTGATGTGTCCCAAACTATACCTGTTTCTGTTAGGGATTTACTCCAGGTATTGTAAAGTGGAGCTCCAATACAGATTTCCCAAGCTGGAGGACTGCAGAGAAGCAGCATCTGCATTCACTGGCTTAGACCCAATGTCATTAACCTGGTTGCCATCAATATTTGCCTCCTGGATTAATAGGGTTGTACTTATGTGACTGCTTGACTCTTTAACTTCCAGCCAATCTGAATGTTGCTGAAGTCACAGAAACAAGGAATTACTTGCAAAGGGGTGTGATCCAGGGTCAGTTGAGAGGACAAGATAGGATCTGAAAAGTATGGATCTTGGTGACTTAGAAAGGAGAAACCTAATTGCTTTGAAGAATGAATTGAATGCTGTGAGTAAAGAAATTTTTGGCTTTGAAGGGAAGGGGGAGTAGTGGCTGAGGGAGTTGATAACATGTTTAAATGCAGATGGGGAAGGCAATAGAAAGACTAGAGAAGGTGTTGTGTTTCGGGTGGAGTGAGATCCTTGGCGGGTTTGGAGGCCCAGGTGGAGGGCGTTAGCTCTGTAGTTGTCGACCTTGATTGTACACAGGGAGAATGGGTTCTTAAGTCCCTCTCAGGCTAGTTGAATCAATCCCTAGGAGTGGGACTAGGACTAAGGTGTTTTCAAAGCTCTTCTTGGGGAAGGGCTTCCATTGTGACCTGACATAAGAAATTAGCATGTTAGGTTTCTTGACCACTAAGGAAGATGTATTCGTTCTGATGTGAAGTGAACTTCAAGATACAGATATGCAGAACAGTGATTTGTGTGTGATTTGTTCCCACTGAGCATAAGGAAGGGTAGGCATCTGCCTATATTTGTGTATGCAGAATGGATATAAAAGATAAACTGGGGGTGGTAGTGGTTATCTCAGAAGTGATGGTCTAGGCTGCAATGGTAGGGTTTCTTTCTGCATACTTGATATACTACAGCGACATTCAGCAGTGTCCCTGGCCTCTTCCCGCTGGATACCAGTAGTACCCCTTCAGTTGTGACAATGAAAAATGTCTCCAGACATTGTTATATGTTCCTTGGGGACAAAACCACTCCCAATTGAGAATCATGTTCTTTAGCAACAACAGAATTTTTAAAGTACACACACGATTCCTTGAACATTCCAGGTGCTCAGCAAATGTTTCCTAATTTCTAAAATTTGCTTGTCCTTTTCTCATCCTGATTATCCTTGATTACAAGTCTAATTATAGCTATTACTGGTAAGGATAGGATACACTCTGAAATATCAGTGGCTTAATACAACAAAGATTTATTAACGATTTCAGTACAAGCTGGGTGATTCCAGGGCAGCTGTTCTCTAAGTGGTGACTCAGTGCTACAGATTACTTCCACTTTGTGGCTTCCCTGTCTTAGCACATGGTTCCCATGATTGCAGAGGCAGAGGAAGAAAAAGTTGGCAAACATACCAGCTCTATCTGCTGCAGTCCCGAAGTGGCACGTGACACTGGTGCTCAGCCCACTGACCATGGGTAACTGCCAATCTAACTGCCAGGGAGACTAAAAAATAGGGAGAACCTGGAGATACTCAAGATACTCGGTGAGTAAAACTACCTCTGCTACAATTGCTAACAGTAGCTTTCTCCATGCCAGCTAGTGTTATAAGAACTTTTGCCCTATGTTAACTAATCCTCATGGCAACCTTATTTTTCAGGATTGAGGCAGCCCAAGGATGTGCAGTGGTAGAGCTCAGATTCAGACTGGCAGCCTGGCTTAGTATCTGTGCTTAACCACTGCATGTACTCAACACCGAACCTATTAATATACCATATATATATCTCAGCTACATGATTCTTCTCTCTTTACATCTCCCAAATCCTAGATTGCTTCTCTAGGCAGTTTCATGTCCTGTGAACCCCTTGTCTAGAGAGAAGGTTGCCTCCAATATTGCCCATTATAAGCACAGAAACTGATAATTTCATTTGGTGCCACAGCTCATACCTACTCAAGTCCTTGGTAGAAAGCATAAAACTATTGTAGGCCAGACCCTGTATGCAATACCTTACCCAAATTCCCTAAAGATTTACATCTCCCACTTTATGGGTGGGAAAGCCTGAGGTTCTGAAAGGAAGCAGCTTGCCAGAGGCCCTAAGTTGAATCTCTGCAACCTTCTAGGTTATGCAAACATACATAATATCCCTGCTAGTTACGCAGTGTAATCCCACTTCTATGGATGGGAAAGCTGATGCCCAGAGGTATATAAAATGTTCAAGGTCACAAAGCAAGGAAGTGACAGAGCTGGAATCAAGTTTGAGCAGATCAGCCGGGAGGCTGCAAGGGAAAAGCTAGCCTGCTCTGCCTCCAGGCTTTTAATGACTGGTGGGCCGGGGGAGGGCTTCATCCTGCCTCCTCCCCATAAAGCTTCAAAGGCTGTACCTGACATTCTGCATTTTGGGGCACATTTGGACTTTGTTCCTTGTGAGAGTAATGGTGGTACCAGAAGTCAATGCAAACTGGGGGAAAGGACTTGCTTTAATGAGTCTTGCATGCCTCTCATTTTTCACTTTTTCCTCCTTTACTTCAGGGGCAATCTGGCAGTTGTTTTTCTGTCATCTAATAGCACATCACTTCAGTGGCTCTGAAATTGTTGAAAAAGCTTCCACACAGGCAGGCCAAGTTGTGTTCCACTGCTCCCTTCCCTTGCATGTAGACAGGTCTGATAGAGGCATGTTTCTGAAAGATTTGGACAGTGGTTCCTGGAGAGGATGTTGCAGGATCATGTCAACACTAACTGGCTCCTGGGTCAAGTGTGAATTCAAGGCCATAGCTCAACTCTGGGGGGATGATGGGTGGGCTTGGAGGGTAAGGGGGTAGCCAACCTCCCTCACCCTTTTTTTTTTTCCTACTTGGAAAGAACTTACAAAAGGGAAGAGTGGCAGCATTCTAATAGATGGCAGCAGCTGAAGATGAGATTAGGAGAGAAGCTAGGCTGATTGTTCCAAGAGCATGACTGCATTGTTGTATACTGTTGTCTTATGGGTTTTTAAGGTATAAAAAGACAGCTGACCTCTAGTTAAAAGCCTGATTACCTTCAACTGCCCTCCCTCTACTCCCCAACCAGATGTGACTTCTCCTTCTTAGGGCCTTGCCCTATTTTATTTCCTTTGTCCGTCTGTGGCTCTTGTCTTTCTGTACTCCACAAACAGAGCCCTGATACCTCAAGGTAACTATTGGCCTTCCTGACAGGAACTCAGTATTTTTTCCGGTTTTGACCCAGTTTCCTGACAAACAGCATGTGACCTGTCTTATTCCCTGTATGCCCCTGACAAGGACAGCTGTATGTTCAGTCCTAAGGTTGTCTGGTGGTAGAGTACTCATGGTGCAATATGACTTCAGGATTTGAGATCAGTGTAATGGGATGTGTGGGAAATAATTTTTAAAATAGCTTACGTATATAGCTTACGTATACTAACAGCTTTATACCAGGAACAATTCAAGATGTTTTACATACTTAATATAATTCTTCCACCATCTCTCTAATTCTTTTTCCCATTTTAAAATTAGGAAACTGAGGCACAGGAAAGTCACTTGCCCAAGGTCACAGAACTAATCAGTGGCAAAGTCTGAATTTGAACCAGGAGTTGTCTGACTTCCCAACTTGAATTGCTGTATGATTTAGTTGAAATTGTTCAGGCCATGGCAGTGCTTCAAGCAGTATGTTTCTAAGAGTTGTCAAGTTAAGCGAGTTTTTAACTGGCAAGCAGTTCCAAAAAACATTAATTTTT